GAAAGCTGCTTAGTAAAAGCCTATGACACTACAGAAGCAGAATACGAACCAGCAGTCTCTAGAGTTGGAAAGAGAAAAAACGGTATTCTACTACTCTCTACCCTCTTGTGTGTCTACCAACTGCAGCATACACTGCATTTTATCCAAGAAGAGAATAAGATGACATAGCAAGTAATTTTTTTAAGAAATAAAGACCAAGTTCAAGTCATAAAATTGCATTTGGTTAAAAATAGCTACAGTTTAAAATAGTAACACCCAGAAAATAGTTCTACTAGCCATTTATCTAAATGCTGCTGGCAGGAGGGAGACAGAAGACATGGGACAGCAAACCCAGAGATGTTGAATCTGAGCAGCACTTTGTCTTTGTGTGCATTAAGTGCATTTACACATTTACCCGTGCATCCTCTTCTCACAGTTTTTGGAAATTTGCTTCTGGAATGAAGCAACTGCTGCTTTCTTCTCACATTGAAGCTTCGCATAGCACTTTTTACTTTTTACTATGTTTATATCAAAGTAAAGTACTGTATCTTTCCTCTTAAGAGAAAAACCACCACAAAAAAAAAGCAATCGAAATAAAAGATCTTCTAATTAATGCACAAGAGCTTAAAGAAAAGTGAGCAGACCAAAGTACAGAGCAATCAGCAAACACAGGATGGCAGTAAGTTCAGAAGTTTTCTCTTCCCTCAAGCCTCCTTTTTAAAGGCAGCATTCATAACAAGTAGTTCACACTTAGTGAGTGATGTGACCAAGTGGTTAAGGTAATAACTGCACAGTTCAAGAAACTGTGATTACAAACAGGGTTGTGAAATATGACACACCTTCCACCTATTCCAAGTATTTAAACAGTTTCCTTATGTTTTTCCCCCCATATTTTTTTTTTTTGTAAGGACAAAGAATACAGTTTAAGATAGGAAACTGTTCTTATTTTTATTCTTAGGTAAGAAAATACTATGTATTTAGTGCATTTCTGTGCCTCTATCAGGACAGTGACTTAAATTCCAAGTCTGACTATGATTACAGGTTAAGCTCATGACTCTTGTCTTCAGATCTAGCACAAAGTATTTACCAGTTAGCACAAATAGCATTACTTCGCCCTTCACAGGAAGAAATTAAGTCATTTCAACTGTTTCCACCCCCTTCATCAGAAGAAGGAAAAAAAGAAGTGACTGTCTTCTCAGAGGTACTCTACAGCACAGAAGAAAACACTGAAGTCTGGCAGTAGCAGAGTGTGCTAGTGTACCCTACATAAAGGTTTGAGACACGAAGCCATTTTAGCTGGCACAGATCTTTCCTGAATGACAGGCTACTTTAAATTTTCAGAAAACAATTTTCATTAAGAATGAAACCACATTATGCCTATAACAGTTGTGGACAAAAAAGTTGATTTGCTCTCTAAGCTTCTTTCACCCCAGATCCTTATATCTGGTAACAGACAGCTATCAACTGTAAGAATTGTATCTGGTAATACAGCACACTGCACACAAATTTATCACATGCTACTCTTCAGCCAGACCGTCTGCATGGGTTATTAAAAAAAAAACATAAAAATAGGATGACTTGGAGTATTTGTGAAAGGGTCTGGGACAGTACTGCTTATTGACAAGATACTCCTAAACACTCCAGGAAGAACTACAGGATGTACTTGCATTCACAGATCACATTTGCAAATAAGGCTTATCATTCAGGATTTTTCAATACTCATGAAAGAAAAAAAAAAGTATACATATATTTTATTGTATTTAAAGAGACGGCATGAAAGAGTTAGATTATAGAACAAAACCTTCCATGTGACTCCTCTCAGAGGACAAAAGAATTTTTACTATTTTTAATATAAATTCTCATTAAATATCACTAGTACATGCACTTGCATTTGGGTTGCAACTCCATTATATCCGATTCTTGTCTGGTTTTACAAATATCCAGTAGTAGATATGGCAAGCTAAAAATAAAAATGGCAAATGTCCTGTAAGATGTACCAAAAGTACTTCCAGAAAGATACTGGGTGTGATGAATCAAGTTTTAAGCTTGAGGAGATCCTGTGGTCAGCAAGTATGAGTTTCCACATGCACAGAATAAAAATTTCCTCAGCCAGAGACATTCCCGAACTGTTGCTTAACTAAGTTTGATGTTTGTCTTTTTAAACACACTTGACAAACCTAGGAAAGTTTTCAGAAGTGAAACACAGTTTTAATTGTGATTCTAGAAGATAATTCATATGCAGGAAAATAGTATCATGAAATAAAGCAAATATAAAAACAAACTTTATACACAAGAGCTAAAGCTAAAGCACACACTGAAGACTACCGCAGGGCATTCACAGGGCTTTTACGCCTGCCAAAACAGTAACCGCAGTGCCATTTGACAGCTAAAGTTCATGCACACAATTACTTCGCAATTTTTCCTATATGAAATTAATCTGTTTACATTCAACAAGTCTAACCAGAACTTTATCTTTACTGTTTGCATTGCTTTATGCATATTTAGTTAAATTTCATGCAGTTGAACTTGCGGTTGAGTGGTTATCAGGACTGAGTATTTTCCTTCAGTAAAGCAGATAAGGGCTGTTTCATTAAAAGATATGAAAGGGAAAAGCTGCATCAAAGGACAAATTGCATCCTAGAGGCTTGTATTACATTCCCAGTACTGCTTCCTGGAACATGAAACACGCTGTAACATACATCACTTCAACTGATCAAAACCAATTGGCTTTTCAAACTTTAAGTCAACTGGATGGAAGAAAGAGTGCATTTAAACAGACAAGATATTCCTGGTAACCCCCAGTTCTGAGCAAATTTCCAACTTTGGATCCTTGGTTCTGGGGAAAGGTTCACTATATCAAGATTGGCAGAGTTAATTTAATAATCATTCCTTGAGCACCTGCCCAAGATGGATGCATCCAATTTCCTAAGCTTCTAGAAGCACTTCTATGATACAATGTCTTACATGGCCCATGTCAGAAATTCAGCAATTGTCTGATATTGCAAAGCTGCCACAGCATTTGCTGATACTGTGTTTCCTAATTGCAAATATGAACAGTGGATTTTTTCCCTAAATAAAACAGATTAGCATGTTGAAACATATATATGGTCAGTTGTTACTTATTTGTTACACACTGGCAGTTAATTTCCCCCCACATAGCTTCAAAGAATCTTCATTTCCCAAGCTGGTGGAAAAGTACTTTGTTTTCCTTATAAATCGAATTCATATATTTTGATACGTCATGTCATACTGTAAACTGATGCAATTAAATCTATAAAAAATCTTGTGTAGGCATGCAAATTGATTTAGCCCAGCCTGACACTGACACAACCAAGGAACTGAAACAAATCAACTTTATTTGAAAAGTACTAGCAAAGTTTTGTCACTAAAAACTGTCTGAATATCTTTTAAAACAAGCAACTGATGATTTAGAAGCCTTTCTTGATCAGCAACTACCAGTTGGAGCAGTAAAAGTACAAACAATATTGCAAAAGCAAAAAGTAAAAGAACTGCTGACTGATCGTGCGCCAGCACAAAAGCACCACTTGTATGAGGAGCACGAAGTCAGAATCCACTGGTTTAGGACTAAAATAGCATCCAGGTGAGAAACACTTTGGTAACAATGCCTACCTCTCTGTAGCGCTTTTCATTGGTGCATGTCAACGTACTTAAGTGACGACAAGGTTATCAAATGTCTCTAACGCGGGGCTGTGTCACAGCTGGAAATTACCCACTGACATCTTGATAGCCTACTACACAACTGTTAGTTCCTTATTAGAAACTGACCTGATAACCTAATTCCTAAAAGGTACTTGTGTGCATACAAGTGCATGAGAAAGCCAGCTGCAGTTACACGCCACCACAGTCCTCTGTCACATTCACCAGCAACAAACAAGTACTCTCTCCCACAAACATATGAAAAGGGCATAGAACTGTAACACCGGCTTTTTGCACTAAAAGCACAGTGCTCTCCCAGCATAAGCATAGTGGAGCCATAATAAAGACACATGTGTTTTTAATGGCAGTAAATAATTTCCAGACAATAGACATTTGGCAGATTAAAAAAGAAAAGTCACATGCCAACACTTCTGCAGTCAGGATTAAAAAACTGGACACGCTACTTCAAAAAGCCACAGGCCTCTAACTACTTAAATAAAGGGTGTTTCCCTTAGCTGACTGCAGTACGTCTTTATCCTCCAAAGCCATCTACAAGGAAAAAACACTGCAGAGTGGGAAAATTATATGCTAGCTGTTTCTCTCCAAGGTAGACAGTACTCATGCAGATCATCATTGGCTATGAACCCCAACAGCCTGGATCCGAACCATAATTAACCCCATGTGCAGTCACTAGATGAATCACATACCCACCTGGAGAGCAGGTCCCAGAACACCAATCCTTTCATCTCCTAAAAACAGGTATCTAGCATTCCAGAGCTAGACGTGCAGACCAAGGTTCAAACCTCAGCTCCCTGAACTATATTAGTAATTTTGTCCATTTATCTGCAACACAAGGACTTGTTACCTGCTCTAACCCACTCACAGCATATATATGGTTCACAAGGTTGTAAACTGAAGAGCCATATCCATGTAGCAGTGAAAGGTAGCCTTCTGGTGCTGTGGCCACAGTCCAAACTAGGCAACCTTCTCCCTAGTCTCTTGTTTAATGCCAACAACATAAGTTAAAATACTTCTTGACTGCACAGCATTTCACAGCAGCTTTTCTCATCAGACACAGGCCAAAGTCACTGTGCTATTCTTTCAGGGCATCAATCATCTTCCCAGACATCAGGTTTACTCTATTTACATATCAAGGCTAAATAACAAAATTCAGCAGAAGACCCTACACAGGATTTCTTTACTGCTAACATAAACAGTCCCTTAAGCAGAACTGTAATGAATATATTATCATGCTATTTGTTGTAATCAATATATTATCATGGTATCATATTCTTAAAATTCTTGTAGTAAACAAAATGGTATTTACTACAGTAGTGTTTTCTCTTGAATACATGTACACTTACCCACATAATGCATATTAAGGGCCAAGTACTTGTACTGGAAGAGAGGGTTGTTGTGCAGGCTACTTCTTTGGATCTGCTGGAAGAATGAGCTGACATCCCATCTGTACAAGACATCCAACAGCATGATGCTTGGGACCCTTAGGGCCACATTTAACACTGCCTCCAACTTCTCCTTTGCAGCCATTCTCTTCCCTTTCTGTGAATTGGCAGCAGACTGTAAATAGCGCAAGACAGAGAAGAGTAATCAGATCAATCTCACTGTACAAACAGCTATTAGGCTTTGTGATCATATGAATGGGGCTTCCTGTGCAGCCACAAACGACTGAATGAATCAACTGAGTTAAATTCAAACCCAGACAGGACAGCTTCTATTTTTTGCTACATAAAGGTTAATTTGCTACCAATTTTTCCACCATGATACTGCTGGGGCGGGGGGGCGCAGGCGGTGGTTAATGACGTAAAAATGGTCAAAGGGTGTGCACCAAATAAATCTTCATTCTTATTTGCACTAATTTAGTATCCACTACCCCAGCCCAAAGACCACAATGTACTAGGTACTACATAAACATTAACACAATAAGCTTTAGAAAGCAAACACCGACAAAATGCAGACACTACCTCCACTTAGCTTAACACTATTTCTATGCCTCTCAAATGAAATAACCACCAACTAAAAGAGTTCTTAAAACATTTTAAATTCACTTCCTCAATGTAAATTGAAATAAATCATTTTCCAATAATGAAGCTTTTAAAAAAATCCTTTACGGTATTCAGTAACCTCTATGTATTTATACAGTTATGGAATTTGAGGCCGTGTTTTGAAGATTAGGACCAATAATGCCACTATTCTACTCATTTTAATGTCATTCACCTCAAGAAGCCATATAAACAAAAGACCATACCCTCACTCCAGAGTACAAGAAGGTAATTTTTGGAGCTTGCAATGAGAGAAGACGGATGACGTAAGACAATGAAGAACACTCTTTTTTATTTAAACAGGAAAAAAAATGCCGGTCCACAACAGCATCTCAAAAGAGATCTAGTCACCAAGATGACCATTTTAAAGAGCAAAAGAATCAGTTTCCACATCCTGTCAGAGCACTGCCTTCAGCTGAGACTGACAGTTGTTCCTAAATGAAACGTGCTGGTTTTACCACATGCCACCTGCCCACCCTAGGAACAGCATTCACCCCAGGCTGTATTTATGAACCACCAGTTACATACACTGTATTACAGAAGTGCAGTTGAAGTATTCAAGGCCAAGGTGTGGATGACCCAGCAAATTTTCATCCACAAGCAGCCATTCAAACAAGTAAAACCCATCACCTGCAGCACTATCAGTCCCCCGATGAGGTCAGATTTAAGAAAACACTCCCAATCCTAATTATTTCAGAATAACAGAATCACTGAAGTTGGAAAAGACCTTTAACATCTTCAAATCCAACCATCAACCCAACTCCACCATGCCCACTAAACCATGTCCCAAAGTGCCACGTCTATACGTTTTTTGTATATTCCCACTGATGGTGACTCCACCATCTCCCTGGG